TATGCTGGCTGGAAGTCAAATGGACTTCTCTCTTGCTCTGTCCATTTTTACCAGGAGGAAGACAAGTCTTCATATGTTCAGTATTTTAGATATGTATTTTAGTTAAAGATACTGTTGTTCATCTTACAATTAGAATGTCTCCAAATAATTAAAGACTTTGAAAAGTACACCTTGGACATCTTTGATCAGAGTTTCGTTTTTCACGTTATGCCTTTTTTTTTTTTTACACAGGATTGAGATTAAGCCTTTTAAAACAAATAAAAATGAGAACAAAACCTCATAATTTAAACAATGAAGGCTAGATCATACTCAAATCCCATGGGGAGATTAAGGGCTTGCTGAAACAAACATGTTTTGGGTCCTATCCAAAAGACATTGAACTTTGCTAGGAAGGAGTTCCAGAGAAAAGGAGGAACCACAAGGAATGTGCAAACCCTCTCTCATAATTTCTGCAAATTCCTGCATGTAGAATTGCGTTTGGGACACTAATCCGCAGAATAATTTTAGCAGCGCAGCTCCAAAGCTCTGTTATAAACTCTCATATATGCTGCTTATCCCCCTATTGCCTAACATATGTCCTATTCAGGAGCAAGGATTCTACTCTTAAGTAATGCCATTAAGATCTTAATTAGTTTGCATCATACTGAAGACCATTATCCACACATACACACATACACATCTTGCATTCAATTGGTAGTTGTTTGTTTTAAATCTGATAGTATGTTTTAACCCGCTGTCTGTCTGGAACATTTACCTGCAATAGTAAATATGTCATTTTCACAGTGGAAGATTACTGCTTATTCAGAGCATTCACCAGGCACGCACTCTTATTCAACCACATTTTTTACATCACAGGACTTGGCACTTGGACTTGAGCATCCACTAATGATCACATTGGTCAAGAAGAGATGAGCAGGGACAGGACACTCCCAGTTTAAAAAAGAATGAAGCAAACAGTAATTAATAGTTAGGGTAGAAAAATGTCTGGAGCAGCTACCAATAATTTTCAATACATTTTGGCACTGAGCTTAAGTGCCACTACTAGAGAAACGCGGTAACATTTGGCTGTATGAGCACATTCTCATTTTGTCCATAGATAAGGGAAAACAGATCCCAATACACTGAAAGGAACTTTCTTTTAGGGAATTGTGCCCAGAACTGCTACCATATGTGATCATTGTATTTATATTATCATGCAAATAAAACTCAAGTAATAAGAGTTTGTATATTTAGGGGGGAGATCTTGGGTTTTCAACACACAAGATTTCTTGAAAGGAGGCAAGCAAAGTTATAAAAAACAGAAATGGTTTTTGCTTCTACCCACTAAGCAAACATTGGTCAAATATTTGCAGTATTAATACAGTCAATCAAGAAAGCAAGGCATCTGCTTTTCAACAGTCATCCACTACAAAGTAAGACCATTAAATGATACGTTTATTGTAATTATGCTAAGCTGAATCATCAATTTTCTTGGAACATTTCCATTACCAACAAAACCCACCTCCCTTCTGAGAATGTTTCACTAAAGGATGTTAAAATGGTACAGGAAGCCTGTTAAGTACGGTTAAGTGAGCAAAATAATCGTCCTCTCTTTCATAGGGGCTCCCAGATGTGGGCTGCAAAACTTCAGATGATTGTTATGGCTGGAAAAAGTAGTTCTGTCACAGGTCTGCTGTGAAACGTGTGATGGTTCTGGCAGTGCTACCTTTGCCTTCTTTTGGTGGCCATTGATTTTACTTCCCTGAACTAATTGCATCTCATTGCCAAGGTTCATTGAAATACATTACACTTATGCAGCTGCTTTGTGCAATTCTTCAATATGAAAGATAATCCCTGTGACTAATCTGGAAATCACTGTTCTCATTCTCAATTTTCAGGTCCAAAAATAGTAAGAGGGGAAGGAAGTTTTTCCTGAAAATTGTACAAATCCTGCATAATGGCTGCTGCTCCTTTCTATTTCCTGGATTTGGTGCAGAAGCAGCCCAGTTAACCAAGGATCACACACACTGCGCCGCCAATCTGATTTTTCAATACGGTGAAAACCACTGGAGGTACATGAAAATTGAAAAAGAAAATGGGAGACTAAAACATGCGTGCCTCTAAGGCAGAGGTCTTCAAACTTGGCAACTTTAAGACTTGTGGATTTCAACTCCCAGAATTCCTCAGCCAGCCCTGGCTGGCTGAGCAATTCTGGGAGTTGAAGTCCACAAGTCTTAAAGTTGCTAAGTTTGAAGCCCCCTGCTTAAGGAGATTCAGAAAAACAATTAAAAAGCCAATTCTTTCTCATTAATGACTTCATTTATGGTGACAGATTGATATTACTAAAAATAAAATTGCTATTGCCATGTCTTTCATGAAGGCCTTCTTGAATTTGAACTGTTGGGGTCTGCAATGGCCATAAAGTTAAACAACACATAGAATATTTCAACACTGTCTAATTATAATAAGAATCATTAAAGCAATCTACTCAGTGCCATTGAATAGTTCTATTTCTATGCAAAAGTATTAGCCTTCTAAGGGGCTGCAAAATTTGATTTTGACCCCTGAGAGTGATCATAACTTTTCCTGGAAAAAGACATAGCTGAAAGAATTGATCTTTTGGAGATCAAATACAAGGAACTGTCTAAATTGTACAGATAGCCCTCGATTTACGACCACCATTGAGCCCAAAGCTTTCGCCGTTAAGTGAGACATTTATTAAGTGAGCTTTGCCCCATTTTACGACCTTTCTTGCCACAGTTGTTAAGTGAATCACTGCGATTGTTAAATCAGTAACACAGTTGTTAAGTGAATCTGGCTTTCCCATTGACTTTGCTCGTCAGAAGGTTGCAAAAGGTGATCCCATGACCCCGGGACACTGCAACGGTCATAAATGTGAGTCAGTTGCCAAATGTTTGAATTTTGATCACATGACCCTGGGAATGCTGCAACGGCCGTAAGTGTGAAAATGGTCATAAATCACTTTTTTCAGTGCCGTTGTAACTTCAAACAGTCACTAAATGAACTGTTGTAAGTAAAGGACTAACTGTGTAGGAAAAGGTGTTACAGTACACTCTCAACTGCACTGAGTTGTGGAATAGGTCTGTGTAATATGGAAAGCTACATATATATTTATATTAAATTTCTTCATGTCAGCTCCCAAGAAGGAATGTATTTTCAAATAATCATAATGGTTTTTATATTTTATCTAGAGCCCATTTAACTCAGATGCTTGACAAGGAGAGCCCACTTTTTTAAAGAATATCCTTAATGTTTCCACAAAGATTGGAGAAAAAAATGCAAGCGATTCACACCTCAAACAAGAAACAACTGGATAAAAGGCAAGCTAACCATGAGCTGGGGCATTCTTGATATAATTAAAATTCAGAATACGCTAGCAGCTAATATCTATATTTTTCTGAATTTCTCTTCACTGAATTTTAAAAAAAGATTTAAGTATGCTATATAAGAATGTTTCTAAAATATTAACTTGGCCTTCCTCAATTCAGATAATGCATGCACTAAAGAGTTACTATACAGCCCCCTCCCCAGTAATTTTGTAGCCCCCACAGTGAATATTCATTTCTAAAGCAGACTATGAAAAGGGTCCCTGCTGCTTCATCAAACAGCTATATTACTTTTAGTCACACACAGTAATAGATTGCGTATGTATCACATTCTTGGCTGGGAACAGAATGGACAATTGTAGGCTTCTTTTAGTTTGTCTCTTCTGGAGAAAGGACTTTCCTCACTGGTTTTAACTAAAAATTTAGATTTTGCACAAATATCAGTCATGCTTAAGATTAATTGCAGCCAACATTAAAGGAAGAGCTGGTGCTGAGATGAAACTCCATTTAAGAAGGAATTTCAGATACTACTGCAGCTCTGTTCAGAGGAACAAAAATACTTGTAACTGGCAATGAAGCTCCATTGACCATGCTAGTTTCCTAGACTTTTCATTAAATTGCACTTCATTTAATACTGCTAGCTGTTCCAGTGCAAACTCTGGGCAAATTACTTGGGGGAATCTGGAATATCAGTTCCCACTATTAAATTGGGAGTATGGCAGTTTGGAACCCAAATGTAGACAAGAAGTCCAGTTTAAAGAACTACTATGGTTTCCAGAAGGAAAAGCATGCACCAAATTTCACAATATGGGATATTGTTTGGGAAATTAGGATTACTTTGTAACTATTATGGAATACATGGAATAAGGATAACAGCTTGGGTATCCTTCTAGGTTCACAACGGAAAGCTGAAAATTAAAGCTATTAGGAGAGCAGATAGTTGTTTCTACTGTAATGAAGGAAAGGCAACTTTGGGCCCCATTACTGTACTACAAGTATGATTTTAACAGCTGCGGTTTACCTCCAGATCTGCATGGGAAAGAAACAGCTAAGCAAAGGCTTCGTTGCATTTCATTTGGAAAACAAACCAAATGCCTGTCCCATTTTTATTAGGGAGAGAAAAGGGGAAACATTATGTTAAAATCAGGACCGCCACTCAAATTGATAACTTTACAAACTAGGATCAAATCTGAAAAGTTCTGGTGGCTTGGGACACCCAGAGGGCACCCACAAAACTTAGATTAGGGCTAGATATTGTTTATTTACTACCAATCCTCTATTTTTGTGGCGCACCTAGGTTGTTGGACAGAGGAAGAAGTGGTTTTCTCCATTTGCATAAAGAATAGGGAGACGCAGGCTACTAAAAGTAAAACCTGGCTGGCAACTTTTAGAGCCCAGCCAACAAGGCTGAATCAACTTCATAATCTTTTGATTCTTCACGGGATTATACCAAATGTGATTTGAGTCATCCCAAATTGACTCAATATAACGATGAAGAGAGATTACAGAAGCAACTCAGACAAAAGCATATTGTCTATGTATGTTATATTCACAGGAGTTTAAACTTTTGTTTTTCACAGGAGTCATTGACTATCAAAGACATTGTGGGTTTCTATTCCAAAGAGGTTGACTTGAAAAGTGCCAGGGACGCTTCCTGGAGCATCTGTTTCTTACCTTTGCAGATTCTCTCACTGTCCATAGGCTCATAGCCGGCACGACAGGCACATCTTCCAATCGCCACCATCCACTCGCCTTCCCCGTTGCAATGCAACTTCACTCCAGAGGAGCCAGTACTGCTGGCTTCTTCTGCATCGGCCACACAAGTTCCTGGTGCCTCCACCAAAGAAGTCCTCTCACCTCCAGCAAACGTCTCCGGGAAAGAGGCAAAACCCTTCACCACTGCAGGGCATTTGTAGAAGAAAACCTGGACAGCCACCAGAGACATGCAGGCCCCAGAGTCTTGAAAGGCCAAGTAGAAACCCCTCTTCGTCAATGGCCCAAAGCTTCGCACCTTGATGTTCATCTTCACCACCTTTCCAGAGCTATCCACCTGAGAGAAGCTCTCGTCAGCGGCGATTGTATCCACTTTGGTCCAGGGGCCCTCGTGCCACTCCGGATGCTCAGCAGTGGCTAGGTCAGTCTCGGATTCATGATAGTAAAGGGTAAAAGTCTCTTTGCAAGAAGAAGCCACGGTCCTCATGCTGGCACAGTCACGAACAGAAAAGCGGAGGCGTATGTGAACTCTGTGGGCTCCACGACGCTCTATGAAATGAGTGCGCAGCCAATTATTCTGTCCCGGCTCAGCAACATTGCATACCTCAAAGGTTCGAATCAGATGCTTCCTATCATCCAAGACACTCACCTCATCCCACTGTATGGATTTGGGAAGGGAGAGGAGAGGAGTGAAGGAAAAAGAAGACAAACAAGCTGGAAATGTAAATCTTATGGGATCAGGAACAGTGTTATTTTACACCTGAGAACAGCCCCCTGGATCCTGCCACAGAATATATTACACAGATTTGGCCTAAATTTTAGTTCCATCCTGTTTAGAAGCTCCTCAGGGATTAATATTACTTGGTTTCCTGACTCTCAACACTGAGTGCCTTCCTTAATCTATGTCTTGTAGATAAGCTCAGGAACTTTTCTTGGAATTCTGTTATACATCCCTCTTTTTATGACTTTCTGAAGGGGAAAGAGGAGGAGGAGGAGGAGGAGGAGGAGAAGAAGAAAGAAAGAAAGAAAGAAAGAAAGAAAGAAAGAAAGAAAGAAAGAAAGAAAGAAAGAAAGAAAGAAAGAAAGAAAGAAAGAAAGAGAAAGAAAGAAAGAAAGAAGAAGATAACATTGGATGAGAAATATGTCCAATGGCAATATGTTACTTAAGGGTTAAATGGCAACACCTTTTTGTAGCAACACAAATCTAGCAAAGAGAACAATAACACAGTTGCTTCTTTCTGAGCTTCTCCTTCTTAAGGGAGGTAGAATTCATACTCACAAACAAAGAGTGCAAAATTTGCTGAACATTTTTAAAAGATGCTAGTACCTCCTAATTTCTTCTATCTATCATTTAACCTATAAAATGGTCAAAGGGATCCATTATTTCTTAAAAACTTCTTTAAATAATTAAAAATAAATAAAAATCACCCCATGGCGTTTTTTTTATTTAGCTAGGTTAACAGAGAGCAATTGGTATATACTAGCATCTCATCTATCATTTTGGCTAAAAGATGGAAAATAAGAGTGCCTGCAGCTTGTGTTTGTACCCTAGAATCAAGGGGAAAATGGACACTTTTTTGAATAAGCCTTTGAGTTTCCAAGAACTCTTTGTCAATCAACAAAATTAATAATCCAGGAAAAAATGCAGAGCGTGGGCATAGTTTAAATATCTTTTATACTTTTATCTTCTACTGCCCATTCATTTCTGAATTTTTAATGAAATTCTGAAGCTTGCATTTGTTGCCTAATAAAAATTGCTTTAATGAGACATTTGGATTCACTTTTTCTCAGACAACAATCCTGATTTTGCTCTTCTTTCATTATTCATAAGTCTTTCCTATCTTTTCTCTTCTCAACAAAATCAGCAGGGGAAAAAATAGCATAGAGAAAGAGAGAGAAATAACACTACATAACAGGCACTCTTGTGTTATCACCCCAACTAGAAAAACTACCAAGCTAAAAATGCTATGTTGTCATATAGTTTCTTTCTCTTTCAATCTGGGGCTACCAAATGAGTCTGAAGACCAGACTCTAAATATGGGTGTCCATTCTCTTTTGCCAGTATAATTAGCATGGAGTTAAGGAACACCTTGGAGTCAAGGGAAGACTGAGAGTGCATGGAGTCAAGGAAACACTATATCAGCCCAAACTAGGGGAAAAATACAATTATTCAGCACTCAACATTGTGGCTCTCTGACAGTACTTTTTACAATGCTCCTTTGAAGAAGACAAAAGGTAGCTCTTAAAGAAATAACAAAAAAAACACAAAACTAATCTATTGCCTTTTGTGGATATATTATGAGAAGAATCCTGTGTTGTCTCCCCTTATGGCAGCGGTTCTCAACCTATGGGTCGCGACCCCATTTGGGGTCGATCGACCATTTCACAGGGGTCGCCAAGCAAGGCTGTCCGCCATTTTTTCCCCTTTTCCGGCAGGTGCCTTACCTCCCTTGAGCTGGGCCAGCTGGTGGTCAGCCTGCTCCGTCTCTGCCACTTGCCAGCTACGCCTCGGCCGGCGCAGGGGGCGGAACCACGCATGTGCGGCGTTCCCGGGCAGGGAAAGTCCTCGACTTACGACCGGTTGGGTAGTCCTCGACTTACGACCGGTTTAGTCCTCGACTTACGACCGGTTTAGTCCTCGACTTACAACCGGTTGGGGGTCACGGCATTAAAAAGGTTGAGAACCACTGCCTTATGGTAATAGTCCAAGACAGAAGATGCAAAGATTTGGCAGAAATTAATAATAGTCAGAAAGAAAAGCAGTCAACCCTTTCTAGTTTTCTCCATTGACTTTGAAGGGGGATACCATCTGAAATCCCAGCCATTACACCTTGGTTTCTCTGTGTGTATTTGTTGTGTGCAGAGCACATTACCAGGTTTTGAGAGGGTGGCCAATTTTCAACAAAAGAGAATGAAGGGAAGCACCTACCCCGTCAGGAGGATGGGCGGTCCATCCAATCTCAGAGGTCTCTCCTGTTGTATCCAAAAGGATTTCTGTTGGAGAGATAAACAGATAAAAATGATGGTTTTAGGAGACAGTTCCAAATGACAGCTAATTCCTTCCTATATCATCTCCTGAGGGCAGGCATGATTACTAGTCTCAAAACAAGATTTGCTATCAAATATAGGATCGGGGCTGGGGGAACTATGAGTTTGTCAGCTTTGCATGTGATTTCTTGCAAGTCTTCAGGCATGATATTCATTTAAGTGGTTTCATCCATTACATGCAGCTACTTCATACTTTGGGAATGAGTCATATGTACCACATTTATTACCTATTTCATTTCAATTTCCATTTAAGAGCTTATCTGCAAGAAGCAACTACTGAAGATTTTGCTTTTACAAACATTGAATTCTTCTTACATTACCCATTCACAAAGTCATCATCTTCAAGACAGAGCTAGTACCTGTCTTATTATATTTTCTTCTTTTGCTGAAGACTCTAGCAACAGGACAAGGCAGCTTAAGCTCACTTGAAACATGTTTGGTTCCTGAAGTGCACTGTGACAACAGTGGAGATCAAAGGGCCCCTCCCCCTTCCCTATTCTCATACCTCAGTTCACACTTAACAATAACTTTTGAATGATTTTTTTTTTAAAAAACACACTTCTTTTCAGAAGAGAGACCAATGATTGAACAAAAGCTCTTTCAAGTTATTGTGTAACTTCATCCAGAATGAACCTGTAAACACAGGTTGTATCTCCGCAGAAGTAGTGTAGCAATTAAAGCTGTTGAGCAAAATGGTGAAGAGTTACAAAACATAGAATATTGTGGGATGTTTTTTTTAAAATTGTCATACTTAAAGTAAAAACAAGAAAAGCTATTTATTTCCTAGAACTTCCAGGAATGGGTATTCTTAGGAGTCCTTGGTGCATTCTGTCCTTGGTGGTTTGCTTGCAGACATTCCATTACCTGACTGGGCAACATTATCAGTAATAACGAGGGTGAGGTGTGCTCCTTATTTATATACAGTTCAACCTCAACCTCTCTTGGAAAGTATAACTCCTATTTGTGTCCTGCAGTGATCTGGTACTTTTCTGCAAACCTTTAATTTAAAAACATACCAGAAATTTGCTGGATCAAAAATCTACTCCTAAAACATATTTGGACCACTAAGTCCACATCTAAGTCATTTTGTGTCAGAAGTAGGAGAACCAGTCTACAGGACTGGTCAAAGAACAGAATTGTTCTTCTCCTGCTTATTCTGGATCATGCTGAGCAAAGGGCAAGAAACGCCCTTACATAGGCTGGGCCAGCTTCTAGAATATAACCAAAATCAGGTATATATGTAGACCTTGCCCATCTCTAAACCTAGGCTTCCCTTTTATGTTTAAGTAGCAAGAGCTGGCTTAAACAAGACATTATATGTTTCAACAGAAAGGTATTTTGGATCAAAATTAAGCCAACAAAGTAAGTTTTGATTTCGATCAAAATGGAAACTTTATTTTGGACAACCAACTTAACATAATCATAGACATTTTATTTAAGGAAATTTTTAGCGTGGGAAGTGAGAAAGAGAAGGACAAACATTTGCTTCAGTGCCTTGCATTCCGCAGCTGGCCAAAACGATGCTCCCCAGATGGCTTGTCTCCAGTGACCCAGGTATTATTTTTGAAGAAACTGAGAGACAGAGAGCACACGTTCATTTTTCATGGGCCAGCAAATACATACAACCTGGGGCCGAGAGGGCTCTCCTCCAGTAGGAGATATTTAAACAGCTAGCATGCATAGAGTCAGAGGAAAGGAAGGACACATAAAGCAATTGATAGGAGCTAGTAAAATGGTTCACAGATGGGGAATTTAAACAGATCGATTTCCCTTCTCCCCATCTTTCACATTTATTGTACTGCACGGAGAAGTAAAAAATGTCTATGGAACTGGGAAATCTCAGGACTCTGGAATCTTGCATAGGAAAATGAAGAATTTTGGTACAGTGGCAAAGCAAAGAAAAAGAAATCCACCACATATTGAGATAGAATAGTCTGATTTAGGAAATTGGGATCAGTTGTTGCAGGCAGGACTGAACAGATTACCCTAGCCTCCAAAATTAATTTAAAAGACATGGTTTAAAAATGTACATTAAAAAAAGGGGGGGCTACAAGTACATACAAAAAATGTGTGCTGGTAGTCCTCGTCTTAACAACCATTCATTTAGCAACTGTTCAAAGTTACAGTGGAACTAAAAAAAAGAGTCACAACTGATCCTCACACTTATGACCGTGGCAGTATCCCCATGGTCACATGATCAAATGTTGACTGCTTGGCAACCAGCATGTATTTATGCTGATTGCACCGTCTCAAGGTCATGTGATTGCCATTTGCAACCTTCTCATCCAGCTTTTGACAATAAAGTCAATGGGAGAAGAAGCCACATCCACTTAACAATCATGTGATTCACTTAACAATGCAGCGAATCACTTAATAACCATGCAAAAAAAAAGAGGTTATATGATTGGATGTAGCTCACTTAGCAACCACCTTGTTTGGAAAATCTGGTCTCAGTTATGATTCTAAGTTGAAAGCCACCTATATTATTACACACAGCTGAATTTGTTAGAGGTTTCTATTAGAAGTTTTTTCGTTATGGAAAGTTGCATAGAAAAATGCATGTATTTGTGGAAATTGCACATAACAAAAATTTGCCATTTTTTTTAAATCAGAAAAATGTAATGAAATGGAATAATATATAAATCCATCCAATGTAAATTTAGATTGATTTGATATCTCAGGCTCAGCTGACAGTACTGGTCTCTGCAAGTCTTATCTTTAAAGGCATTTGATTTTTAGATGTTCTTTTAAGATATACGGTATGTGCTTATACTGCACTTGCTAGGAAGAAAAAGAAAATATTGCTGACTATTTAGAACATTCCCAAGTAGTAAAACTACTCTATCATTTTTTTGTTGGTCCTGTTTTGCTTCTGAATTAATCAGCTTCCAGGTACTCGTGTTTATTATTAAAAGATTAGAATATTGATTTTCTTCTTCCTCTGTTCCTTAATATTAACCTCAGCATCCTTCATCAACATCCTTACCATATACTGCTCCACTGAGCTGTCAAATAGGATAGTCCTCCTTAAATTAGAGCAGGTGTATTCTTCTTACTCACTCAGATATGACACAGATTTAGGTTAATGGCTCAGTTTAATTCAGACTACTTTAGGACAGAGAAGGTCATCTTCATATCCTTGTCTGCCTGCACGGTAACCCCTTGAGAAAATGGAAAATATATTTGGGGGCCAACTTTTTTATCCCAGAGAACAGATACAGTCCCTCTGTTCAAAATCACAACAAACTCAACTGAAAAGTCAGATCACACCCCTCCAATTTGCAGAAGAATATATACAATATATACAAGTATTCCCACATTAGCAACCATAAGTGGAACTGGCAACTTTTTCACTAAACAAAGCAGTAACTATGTGATATCACAACTGTGCTTATTATCTTACGTCAGCTTTCCTTTGCTTTACATTCAGGCAAAGGTCATACATTCAGGCAAAGGTCATAAATGCAAGGAATGGTTCCAATGTTACTTTTTCAACACGGTCATAACTGTAAATGGACACTAACTCTTCTTGATTTTACTCTTGAATTTTTCTTTATAAAACTAAGTTATAAACATAAACAATATTTTTAACCCTATGAACCTCTTTCAGATTTGCCCCTTTTTCTGGTTTGTCCCATATTTTTTTCCAAGAAAATCACCTGCAAAGCTGACAAACTCCTAGTTCCCTTGTTACCGTAGACACTGTGTCACCCCGAGGTACAGTATTTAAAACAAACGTAGGCTCTAGTACAGACATGTCAAACACAAGGCCCGGGGGCCAGATGCGGCCCGCGAAGTGGTTTCATGTGGCCTGCGAAGCCATCCTGGAAACAGTGAGGGAACAGCCCCCACTGCCTTGGCCCTGGCCCAGGCCAGCCGGGAGCCAATGTACAATTTTGTGGTGGCCATCTTGGCACTGGCCCCAGTGGACCATGCCTTGGCACTTGCCCCGGTCCCACCCCCTTCTGCCAGAGACCCTCAGATCTGTCCCACTCCTGCCCAGGCCCCCCATAGACACCCTTGACGCAAATGATGTAGAACTAGCCACGCCCACCCAGTAGGCCACACCCACTCCATCCACGCCCACCCATTAGGCTGCACCCACTCTGACCACACCCACCCGGTCCCCCCAGGGCAACCGCAATGCTGATGCGGCCCTCAGTGAAACTGAGTTTGACACCCCTGCTCTAGTACCTGCCAATCTAAATGGGCCGTGGCAGTCATGTCTGGCTGCCCATCGGGAACTCTATAAATGTACCAATAGAAGACAATATAACTCAGCGTTGAAATGTGGGGTCCTTGGTGCTCTCTGAGCTTGGTTGTTTTCTTGCAGATTTTTCATTATCAAACTAGGTAACCTCATCATCAGTTCTAGTCCTGTTAATGTTACCTACTTTGATAATGAAATGTCTGGCAAGAAAACAACCAAGCTCAGAAAGCACCAAGGACCCCACAGATCTATAAATGTACTTTCACTTCCTGCTTAAAATGGCTACATTAATCGGGAGGGATAGAAGAGGGCAGGGGGCTGTCAAACACTGAGCAAATCATATTATAGAGCTGATGATTTGAGGATGACAACTTTCACTCAGCTGTAAGCCACGTATTCAGTGGGCAAAAACACAAACGACGAGCCCATGACAAAGTCACAAGTGGATGGGCTTAAGGATATTTCTGAATCCTGCATTGTCTCCGGATCTTCAGATGGTGAAGACAGTGGTAATGGAAGGGAACGCATTTTCCTGCATCAGCTTCATTGTTTCTTAGTCACAGAAAAGAAATCAATGGTTCTACCAATACTAATAGGTGTCAATGCTGCAAATACTGTATATTCTGCGCCCTGATACGGCCAGGAAGACCTGCGGCCAGGACGATCTGCGGCCCGATGTGGCGGTGGCTCACCGGTCCGGCGCGGCAGCGGCCTGGTGGCCCAGCGCGGTGACAGC